TCAAGCTGGACTTAGATGGAATGGCTTCTTTGGCATGCCATTGCCCTTCTATGTGGGGTTAATTGAAATAGACTTCCCAGAAAAGGCACAAAGTCTTCACACAAAAGGAATAGGGAGTTGTAGAAATCACCATCAGTGACCAGTAAAGATTATTGTCCTGGCTTTTTTCTTTGTTGTTTTGTTGTTCTTGTTTGGTTTTATTTTTTTTGAGACAGGGCCTCACCATGTAACTCTGACTGGATGGAATTCACAATGTACAGCAGGTGGGCTGCAAACTGGTTATTCTTTTTTAGGACAGTTGGGAGTCTTGAGTCCTGACTCCAAGTAAAAATAACTTCAAACTTCTAACAGCAACAGAAGACGAAAGGCTTGTGAACAATGACCATAGAAATGACCTAACACTGTACAACTATCGTTAACTGATACCTACTCAGGGAAGTGTGAGTTTATAGAAAAAGAACAGGATGACAAGTGTTTTAAAACAGAGTTCTGATCCTGGCTTAGCCACTGTATTTGCTGTTGATCTTTAAAAAAAGGAATCACATGATTTCTTTCTGTCTCCCCTGTCTACAGTGCTAGTAAATCAGGCTTTCTGCCATAAGCGTATAATGAGAGGCCAACAAGGAAGTACACAGGAGCTTCTCAAAAAAGAATCAGTGCTGCCCTGAACATGGAAGGAATCATATGAATGTTGAATTCCTAGTGAATGTGTTCCCATCTTGCTCAGAGAGCCTGTAGTTATCATTATCAGATTTTGATGACCCCAATTTTCTCCTTCTTTCCACCATTATGACTTGTGAGATCCTCTGAGACATGGGAATAAAGTCAGAATGGACCACCATTGTCAGAAAGAAGGGCAGGTGACTGTGAGTGTGGTGTGTGTGTGTGTGTGTGTGTGTGTGTGTATTCACATGCGTGCGTGCGTGTGTGTGCTTGTGCACACATGTGTATATGCCTGTTTAATACGGAATATAGTTCTTCAGGTTTATATATTTTATGCAAAGAATTGCTGAATATTCATTGATCCATCTGGTACCCCACAAGTATGCTATTAGAAATGCATTACTTATCTATATATTTGAAATGTTGAAATAATTCAGTGTTGATCCTTTGTGAGATAGGTTTGCTACCTTTAAACTGAAGTGACAATGACATCCAACCAGGCTCAAGTTGTACTCATATCCTTGATGTCTCTAACAAACTACAGCCTGCAAGTGAGAATCCTGTATGTCACTATTAAATTTAAAAAGGTCTGAAATATCAAAACCTCACTTCTGGTAGGGAAGGAAAGCGAGAAAAAAGCAAAGGAATGGTTATTCATGAATCCCTGACAGCCTGCCACCATGAATAACAGCTTCCTGGCTCTCCTCTTCTCAGGGCTCATAATTTTTTCCCTGAAGGTGTTTTACCTGCACAGGAAGAACTGGGCTGGCGGCATGTCTAGTAAAGATGATTTTTAATGCCTCTTAAAACCCACAAACCTGTGTTTAGGCTACAAGCCTTTCTTTTTTGCACACAGCAATGTCCAATTCATCTCAGCTGCAGGATAAGAAAGACCACAATGATTCGCCATGTTTGGTCCTGGATTTTGTGACAGTCTGGTGATACTAAGAGAACTCACCGAAGACAGAACTTTTTTCTAAAAATTACAAGCAATGTAGTCCAGATTCAAGGTTTTGCTACCTTAAGCTTGGAGAGCCCATAGCATGGGTGTTATGGGTAGTTGGAGACCATTGGTGACTTTCCACATGAAGAGGTTGGGATGTCATTGAAATAAAACACGGTGCTGAGAAAATAATCTGGTAAAGTGTAGCTTCTGGTGCTATTCTGCCCTTCCATAGTTTCAACCAGGGGTTGTTGCTTTCGCCAATGCTGACAAGCAACAATGTGACAAGCTGGTCAATGGTTTTTTGTTTGTTTGTTTGTTTGTTCCCCCTCTCTCCCTATGAAAGATATTTATAGACTCCTAGTTGCATTTGCTTCCGCTTTCCGCTTTCCCACACAGTTATCTTCTTGGGCGTGGATTAAATGTAGATCTGGGTGTTGAAAGACATTTACATAAGTGCTGTTTGTGAACACCAAGGCCAGTACGTCTATTATCGCCAGAACATTTAAATCTTAATGACTGGCATTGTTGTCTAAAAGACGTTGTTTTTCCTGCTGAGAAACTGCATTAGATTCAAGAAAAGGAGCTCATTTCCATTCTCTCAGCAGTCTCTCTAGAAATGACATGCAGTGCTTGAAACTGTTTATTTCCAAATTCAGGCCTCCCTCGCATCAGTCATCAGCTTCAATTACCAGTTTTCCGGAGCTGAGCCATCAGGCAGTCTGACACCGGGGTCCGGCCTAATTCCCACCTTCTCCAGAGTCAAGAGCATAATGTGCGGATGAAAAGGTGCAAAATAGCCTGGACTTCATTAGCATGCAGGGCCTGGCTGTTCATTTGCTGGCTGCGAATGGAAGTTCTGACACTCGGAGCTTGCTGCAAAATGAGAAAAGTCCTCTTCAGGGGAGATGGGGTCCTTGGTGGTGAGAAAAGGTCATCAAAAAGCCAGCCGCTGCCCTTGCTCCCTGCTCTCCATGACTGCTTATTGATTCCAGGAACACCTCATTACACGCTGGATCAACATATTATTGCCATGTTCTGGGACTGAATTGTTTACAAGTGTCTTTATCGCCAGCAAAGGCCTGCCTGGAGATGCGTGACTACACTCATTTGGCTGTGACCCGCCAATTATGTGTTATCCGATATGTTGCTAGGTATCTTGATCTTTGCCCGGGTCTTCTCCTGGCATCAACACAGTCCCATTTACTACTTCTTTCTACCACTCTTTGGGAAAGTAGCCATTAGCCTGTCAGTGTGTGTGTGTGTGTGTGTGTGTGTGTGTGTGTGTGTGTGTGTTACCTCTACTATAGGAAATATAAACATCTTTGCTCAGTTTCTTGCTGTACATGAGGACCACAGTAATTTGATGAAAAGAAATTCTCCTCTCTCTCTCTCTCTCTCTCTCTCTCTCTCTCTCTCTCTCTCCCTGCCCCCACTTCTATCCCCCCTTTTTATAGCATTCAGGAAACCCATACAACCTGCAATCAGTATGCATGGCAGAGAGTCTAATGCAGCCTGCTCCCAAGCTGCCTCTGCTTACATATAGGCCCTACGAGAGAGCTGTCATATTTTATTTGGGCAGAGCCACTGCAAACCACTGCACAGGACCATTTTAATCTTTCATTACAGACACTTCTATGGCTCCATAAAAGGAAGAGTGGAATAGCAACTTGATTAAAAACTCAGTGAAGAGATTGTGCAAACCCTTTACCCCCAAAAGTAGGGATGAAGCCATAGCTTCTAATGGTGCATTCAACAAGCACACCTGGTTTCCTTTCTTCCATTGGTGACTAAGGACAGAACATCATAATCATATTGAGAAGCAACAACTTTCATTTTTATGAATACTAGGTAGAGATTTAATGGCTGCCAAATACTTGCTCCTCCTCAAGCCAATAGTATATAAGGGGCTATTGCTCTTATATTTGTGGTTGCTATCCAGACCAGCTCTGAGTTTTTCACAGTAGCACACAGAAAAGCAAATTCCAAGACATTTACCCTACTTTTCCTGGAAGCATCCATCCTTGGAAGTGGACATATAATAATGATCAAAATGACACTCAAGAACATAACTACCCTCCGAAAGGTTATATCTCTAAGTGCATCCTTTCCTTGCAGTTCTCTAGATAAGTGTGTTATTTATCTTTTTAAAATTAATTTTCTCCAGGCACTTTTTCCCCCTCTCCAGTGTTTTTGAGAGGAGTTTTGTAAAGAGATGGAGTTCCTTTTGTCCTTTCTGAAATCTCTCAGTCCTGGCTTTCTGACAAATGACTAACTGAAAAGGACAAACAAAGGCACCCTCATCAGAGTGCTTCAGGTAAATTGGAGTCAATGGAGAGATGTTTGCGCCACTGGCATTTAAGCACACTGAAAATTCTGTAGTGTCATCAGCCAACAAATAGCCCTTGGAAGAGGAGATGTTAGGAAGGATTACTCACGATTTATTTTTGGAGGGATGATTGCACAAGGAGAAGTTTGGTCAAGGGATAATGATGGAACAAGAGTGGCTGTTTACAAAGGTTCCCAGTGAGGAGTAAATGCCAGTGTGGGTAGTGTTATAGTTTAAAAAAGAAACGGTGGGAGGAGTCACACCATACAACAGGGTTCACATGGGAAATTTATTGCAACAGGAGAGAGAAAGAGTAGAGAAGGGGTCCCCACCCCCAGGAACAAGAGTGGTGAAAGAAAGAGACAGAGAAAGAAAAAGACGGGAGGTGGGCAAGGCCCACCTTTTATAAGAGAATTTAGTGAATGTGCACAAGTGGTGCTCTTAGTGGCTGCAGCTGAGGACATATCATGTCAGGAGCCCAGGACAGGCCAGTACAGATGCCTAAATACTAATAGGTAGGACTCGGAGAATGACAAAAAATAGTGACTCAAAAGAAAGGGTTATCCACATGGAAGGGTTTCTTTTATACTCTCAGAGGGCAATGAGGTAAATGTTCTATATAAAATGATTGTTCAAGCCGTTTAGTTAGGAAGTGGGGTGGAATTAGCAGGAAGAACATGGTCAAAGAGCTATAAATGTTCCCAACCCGAATCAGTAGGATCAGTTGAGGAAGTCTTGTCAATCTTTGGCTCTTTTGGTCATCCCAGTAGTCTTCAGATCTTCCTTTGGTGATCGTACCAAAAGGAAGAGAGGGAGGGAGGGAGGGAGGGAGGGAGGGAGGGAGGAAGGGAGGGAGGGAGGGAGGGAGGGAGGGAGGGAGGGAGGGAGGGAGGGAGGAAATGCAGTGAGGGGGAAGACCCTGTGTACATTCTAGGGACATGATGGCCCATTTTCCAACAGGCTTACTCTGTCTTTGGAAACCTAATGATTGAGAGTCGAATCACAGCATAGGAGATCAGAGTCCAGAGACCTGAGGATTATCCATCAACTGACTGCCAAACCACACAATTTTTTTCATTTATTCTGAAATCTTCCCTAGGTTCATATTTCCATGTTTCTCTGCTTTGCATGGGCATAGGCACTACTTTGTGCTGCCCAGGATAATAAATTATTTGGTATGTCTCTTGTACTAGCAGCCAGGCTGAAGTGAAGGGAGATGACTCATCCATGGGAACACCTCATTTTCAGTTCTCCATTCCTCAGTGCCAGTAACTGCTGATCTTCCAGAACATTCATTCTGCTCTACTTTCTTCTGTAAGAGAAAGAGAAACATTGTTCTCATCAGTTAACAGATAGTTAAATTTACACCCTCATGACCCAATTTTATCTCCAATAGTTATTTAATTTTTTTTAAAGGCTAATGCTTGGCTAGGGGATAGAACATCACGGTGCAGCTGTTAGCATCTGGGAGGAAGAAGCTCAGGCCTTCCAGGTGACCAATTCCATTTACAAGCATTTGTGCAAGCAGATTCATGTGTGTCCTCCAGGTCTCACTTGTGCTAGGAGGATTTTAAAGAATGTTTCTTAGGATGTAGTTGAACACTCTAGAACATTATACTAGAAATTAGTTTTACTTATTTCTAGATGTTCATACAAGAGCACATGGATGATGGTCACTCTCTGCCTGGTCTCAAGCTATGTCCTTTGTGTGTACATGAACATGCACTAAGAATCCACTGTATGATCCTTGGAACTCTAACCTCCATATTCTGTTCTAGAAGATCAACAATAAGTTGTGACAAAGAATTTCACAAGACAGCAAGTAATTAAGGAAGACTTAACAAGTACAGCTAATAAATGCCTCAACATTTTGGGTGGGGACATGGAATAGAAGACCTTTGTGGACTAGCATAATGAGAATGACTTCCTATATGATATAGGATAGAAATGTGTCCTGGAGATTGGAATAAGTGGAAAGAGGCATTCATGGGCAAGGTGGACAGTACCCAAGTTCCTCCCATCTCATGGAACTCCTCTCATCAGGGAAAGGAATAATTTCCTCTTGAATCCAGACCAGCTTTTTTACTTTTTAACCTACAGAATGAGAGCTGAGTCACATTTTCTGGATCTTGAACTATCTGGTCCTTTAAAAGACCTGCATTTTCCACTGCCTCTCTTTTAGTCCAGTTGCCATGCAGGTGAGATGTCTCTGTTAAGCCATAGGATTATTAGAGGCCATATGAATATAGGCTCTGGGTGATGAGAGGTCATCTTGGAATTTTTAAACAAATGCTGATCCTCCATGAAGAAATACCCAACAAGTTTTGCCTAGATTTCTGACCCACAGAAAGTGTTTCTTTAAGTCATGAAGTCACAGAGTGGCTGGTTAAAAAGCAATAGACAAGTGACTCAGCATTAATAAAGGAAATTCAAGAGTAAGTAACTGATTTCCCATGAAAAGATAGACATAAAATAAGAACAATGAGAAACTCATTGCAAACCAGCCCAGCTGAAGGAGGCATTTTAGATTAGCAGCTAGGAGAATACACATTAATGTTGAACCCAAACAACTTTAATACAGGAAGTAGATCTTGAGACCATTTATCCAAAGACCTCTGTGGTAGATGCTACCCAGTGTCCTGCCTGTAGTCCCTTCCTTTTTATGCATTAGTGTGTACCAGTTCAATGGCCAACCACCAGCACCTTGGTTTCCCCTCCTGAATCTTACCTTGTTGGAGAAGTCATGCTCACAAAGAATAGCCTTCAACTAATGACAGAGGGTGGTTGGAGCATAAATCCTCCAACTCATATGGGCTCACAGTCTCCCTAGTTCTTCCAAAGAATTAAACTCTAGTTGTCCATAATGATAATTTGCTTTATAACACACTTTAGTGGAACTCCTCTTCCCTGATACCAGAAAGTTGCCTTTATTCCCACCTCTCAACTAATGATGTTTTCTGGGCTCACCTTCTACAACAGTGCTTGCTTTTGAAGAAATCATAACTAATATATTCTCATTCTATAGTTAAGAAAACCAAAACTAGGAAGAAGAATGTTATGAATATATGCCATAAAATGAACAAAACTATGAATGTTTTAAATCAAAATAGAAATTCCTTTATCCTTATATAATATTCCAGAGTAAAAGAGTTGACTCCGAGCTAAGAGGATATCATGGGATCCCAGAGCTTCCGTTATATCAATCCCAGGCAGTAAGAAGAAAGAGAGATGTATGAGTGAGATAACAAGTATGCACACCAATCTGCTTGTCTCATTGGTGAGAACATAGTCTCCTGGGCCATAAATATCTGCAAAGGAGACTAAGCAAAGCAGTTCAGTGGGACAGCCATGTATATACTACAAAAAGAAAATAAATGGTGAAAAGTGGCAGACCACACACAGTCTGTGACACAGGAAATTAGACAATTACTCAAGTACCAGCAGTTAGTGAACAAGTAGAATCATGAGATTTTCTGTCCACAAAATTTCCTTTGTGTTCTCACTTTGATTTCAGGTCCACTACAGAAAGTCTCAAATGCCACATTGATGAATCTGGTATTATGTGGTTCCCTCTCCCCACATCACAGAGTCAGCAACTCATAACATGCTTCTGAACTCCCTTTTGGGTTGGGTTTACTGGATCAGACTTTGAGAGCAACTCAAGCAGCAAAGGGAACTCACAGACCCGCTTACCCACAACTCTTCCTTTTTAAGACCATGTTGGCATTGGCTCTCGGCATAGATTCTTTCAATGGCATCCCTTTCCCAAGGAGCTCTATTGACTTATGCAGAGCCTGTGTTAACAACTTTATAAAGCTACAGTCACAGTGTGAACGAAGCCCCTCCAGAGTAAAGCTCAATCCTGCCCAGTGTAGAGTGAGAAAGACCCAGAGATCTAGCAGACATCCTTGATGACCAGAAACTTTTGGTAGTCATCTCTGGAGAACCCAGACTTGCTTCTGTGGTTTCCAAACTTCCAAAACCCACAAAGATGCATCCTTTTGAACCAGAATCACAGGTGGAGAACCTACATAGCACAGTTCATTTAGCTATGAAATAGAAGACAATGACAACAGACCACATTATGTGGGTGATCCTGTTCATAGCTTTTCTGTATGTCTATCTACATTTTTCAAATTCAAAGTTTTGTAAATGTTGAGTGTTAGGCTGACCACATATATAAAAATCGTATTTACTCATATGAACAGAAGTAAATAAGTTAGAAGAATTTGTTTATAGGAAGAATATCATGACTATGTACTATTTGTTGCTTTCAAGAAGAAAGAAAGGAAGAAAGAAAGAAGGAAGAAAGAAAGAAAGACTATTCAATCTCAAAGAGCCTAGGTTGCACTAAAGGAAAACCTTTTATCTAAATGAAGAACACACTGAATCTTTGAACTATCACTTTGCCTCTTGGCCATTAAACTTCCCCAAGACATGGGCATGTATTTCTTTTTTCAACTATGGTAAGAAATTACCAAAGTTTGTGCTTTTAAATTTTTTTTTATTTTAAACTATACTCATTCACCCCTTCATTCATTAGAGAAAAAAAGAAAAGAAGAAAGAAGGGAAGAAAGGAAGGTTGGAAGGAATAAATAAACAAATAGAGAGAGAAAGAAGGACGGAATGAAGGAAGAAAGGAAGGAAAGAAAGAGAGAGAGAGAGAAAGAAAGAAAGAAAGAAAGAAAGAAAGAAAGAAAGAAAGGAAGAAAGAAAGAACACATGCACCATGGCATTTGTATGAGGCTTGGTAGCAAGTGGCCTTTACCTTCTGAGCCATTTTGTGGACTCCCAGAGTTGTATCCTTTAAGTCACCAAATATCACTCATTACAGCAGCTCCAATCTTTTTAAGTGCTCATGAACATGAGGAGCAAGAGTTGCCTCTGATTTGAAATCTACACAGGAAGTTGGTTACATACAAACATACGGGACCAAGTTATGGTTATGCTCAAAATTCCCTCCAAACATATCTAAATTAGTAGACTGTTGGCAATAGATGTTTCATCACTGAAGAGCTAAGGATTTATGAGGACAAGCCTCCTAAACTCACTAACTGCAATGGTGTTCAGAAAGCTTTTCTTTTTCTTTTTTCTTTCTTTTTTTTTTTTTTTGTTGTTGTTGTTGTTGTTGTTTTTTGAAACAGGGTTTCTCTGTATTGTTTTGGAGGCTGTCCTGGAACTCGCTCTGTAGACCAGGCTGGCCTCGAACTCACAGAGATCCGCCTGTCTCTGCCTCCCCAGTGCTAGGATTAAAGGCGTGCGCCACCACCGCCCGGCAGAAAGCTTTTCTGAACAAGGTTTCATTAGTAGTAAAAGAATCTCAACTTTTCATGTTTTGTGTCTTTACTCACATAGTCAAAACCAAAATCAGTCATCTTATTAACCATTTTTCTGCTCACACTACTTAAAAAAATAGTCAAACACATGTAAGGAAAATAAATAAGGAGTATAAAAGAACCCAAAGGATTTAGGTTGTGAGCATAAAAATGAATAACATCAGACCTGGAGATTAAGCAGTTGAATACACTGGTGTTTAAAATTAGAATGGCTCCCAAAAGAATTGATAATGTTTCATTTAAGAAAAGAAATGTTTTCAAATCACTCTGGGTGACTAGAAGTTTGAATCAAAGTCAGAAATTAATAAAAATATACAGACAGATACTCCAATCATAAATAACAGAAATTATTTGTATGCATATAAAAGCCTGCAAGGCCCCACTGTATCTACAGTTCTGTGAGAGAAACCTAATGAAATGCAAGAAGAAAATGTTAAAAATAGAAACCAATGTGCCTAGGAGAAATACTGTTGTCCTATTTGTGTGACACAATGACTTGTTTTCTGGAAAAGTAATTGTTCAATGAGCCCAGGCAAGCATTGTATTCATTGTAAAGTTGTGTACTTAGACCTACAGCCTGAAAGGTTTGCCTGCCTTTAAAGTTCAGTGCTACCAGGGGCTCATTAGAGTAGAAGAATAAAGGTCTATCATATTACTGCCTCGATACTACGCAGAACTTCTGGGTAGTTTTCAGAGGCTTCAAGTACTTAGATTGTCAGCAGTGTGGGAAACAGAAAGTAGAATACCGAATGTATGAGGTGTGTACATCAAACATGTAGAAACGTATAGACAGAGATAAAGACTTGTAGAACACCCTGTTATATTGAAGTCACTGCAGAACAATTCCAGGATAAATACAGATTTGTTGTAAACAGCTGCAATGCTCAGGTTGCGGGAATTAGAGCAGTCTGAGTCTCACTCAAGATCAAATGGTTCCTTTCTAGACTTTATATCAGGAAGAGGCTTTGCTAAGGGTGGCAGGAAGATAATAGAGCATAATGACAGCTATGACATCTTCAGTGTTACAGACAGTAACAGTGAGGGGTTAGTATCTAAATTCAGGCGGAGTTTGACACAGAACAGCATCATCTTATTATGGCTGTTTTTCTAGCTGGACCAACTGAAAGCTTTGCTGGGGCCTTCTCCATCAGTCTTGTACCTACCTGGGCTTTGTGAGAAGCTGTTTTCAGGATACTGGTGGGTAAATCATGTTGGGAAGGAGGAGGTGTGTCCAAAGAGGAGCATAGAGACAAAACCATCAAAGCTGCAAGAGCCAACATAACTTGCCTGCTTTCTGGTTCTGCGACTTTTGTATGCATTTTTTAAAATAAGTAACACGTGTATGTAGAGAGAAAAATGAAAGATACCAGAAGCAACATAGTGGAAAATTAATCTCCATCTGCTCCTCCCCCACACCTTGGCTTTCTCGTCCATCATCTTCCCCAAAATCCTTGAGGATTTTTTTTTAATGTACAAGTCCAGAAAATTGCAAAGGGGTTAAAGGAAGTATCCTGCTCTTCTCTTCACTCTCCCCAACACCCCATCTTTCCTGAACACAGTATGCCTTCACTCTACACCACCCCCAGCCTGTTTATTTGTCACAGGGAGCCGCTAATCTATCACCTGCCCTAACCCTAAACACCCAGACTGTGTCTTTTTTTTTAAGGGTTAGGATTATTACTCAATGATAATGACTTATTTTGCACATTGTCTTCTGCTGATGTATAAAGGATAGGACATTTGTCAGGGCGGGAGCCTGAGCCCCTCAGAGGACTCCGGGAGACCCTGCCAAAACGTTTCCAAACTGAATAGTCATTGGGCAGCCAGATAATTCAGAAACTATTTGTATGAGCTGTTTATCAAATTATTAACCGCACAGATGTTGTTTGGTTGAAGAGCAGCTGAATCCCCTCTCTGGCAGCCGCGGAGACAAAGGTCTCCAGGAATAATTGGAGATGTGCACGGAATATTAAATTAATTTACTGCTCTTAATTCTTATGCAAATTCTGACCTCTGATGGCGCCTATCAATTACCCCGCGCGCAGTGAAAGCGAAGGCGACAGTTTCTTTTCTTTACTTTGCTTTTTTTTTCTTTTAAGAACTCGAAAAAGGAAATATTTGCAATGAGCAGACCGTAGGAGCTCTGCGAAACTGGAATTGTTTAATTGAATCTCCAAGTTTTAGGGATGTCTGTGGAGGATAAAACCCCAGGGCGCAGAGGAGGGGTGCAGGGGCCAGAGGAATTTGGACGTTTGGTTGCACATCTGCCTGATGCAGAAAAACACAGCACCGAGTAGGGACCTGTGCCATCAAATAAAATTTGAGTTTGCAGGCTGATTGGAACCTCAGTACTCGCATCTGGGGGAACCTTGGTGGTGTCTGGCAAAGCAGAGGCAGAACAGCGCCCTTCCGCAAATCCACAAGTACAATCTCCCGCGCCTGGGAGCTTTGCGCGGCGGCGTTTGCAGGACTGCTGCCTGCAATAGCGCTGGCTTCCTTTATTGACCGTTTAGTTGCTTTCTCTTAGTGCCCTCAATCAAAAACACTTCAAAAAATTCTTTGTTTGAGAACCCAAACCTCTACCCGGCACTCCCACATTCAATTCCACTGAAATCCCGGGTGGGCCGAAATAAGATGTAATTGTCTCCTGCGTGAACACCCAACTCGTTTCCCTGAATTGAGCAAATGCCAGGGCTTTGTCTGCGCTTGTGGCTTAAACGGTGTGTGGTTTCTGCGCCCGGGTGGTGAGCTGTAAAGACTGGGGTCTCCAAGTCTTTCATCATCGTTCTAATAAGGAAAACCAAATCGGGCGCATAATGTCATCAGCCCTGGCCCGACCTTGCGGGGACCTCCACAGCCCGAAGATGTCGCCAGCGGCCCCCGGCGCAGCCACGACGCGTCGCCTTTCAGCTCCTAGCGCTTCCCCACAAAAGCCAGACAACAATATCAATTAATCATGCAGCGGGCAAACAAGGAGATTTATCCCGCGACAAACAGCCCCACGGAGAGTCGTTGAATGGGCGTGATTAGCATGTGAAAAGACGAGCAAAACTCCGTGGTTCAACAGCTAAAGAGCAATTTGATGGGACTGGGATGGGGAAATTACTTGATTAGCGTCCGTCGGAGGAGAGCACGGTTACAGCCCCTCTGCCTGGAATCCAACTGCGGAACAAAACGCGCTGGTAAACGCTGCGACCTAGAGGGACAGCGCGCGAGTGAGGGTGGCGCGGGGACCGGCACTGACACGCGAGCAACCGTGGGGGGCGGTAACAGTGGGCAAAGGGGATGACCTACTTAGCCACTCCCCAAAGCAACTGGAGCCGCGACAGTTGTCCCACTGCCCTCACCTAGGCTCGCAGACCTGGACGGGGAGGGCACGACTCTCCCGAGCCTAATTCACACTCTCCGGACTCTGACCCGGGAGGAGAGTGTCTAAAGCTTATGGGGAGGGAAAGGTCCTTCCACATTCTCCCGGGAGTATTTCCGGAGACCCCCCGGGACTCAGTCCTCTCTCCAGCAGTCTCTGCCAGGATACCTTGTCAGAGTTGCTGCTGCGTGCAAGCGGCTGTTCCATCAGAAGCTCAGAGGCTGGGTTTGCACAGGCAGTGAGCTTTGAATCGCCTTAAGACCGCTTTTCCTGAAATTCAGAATTTAACCGCTGTGTTCCAGCCTCTCTTAGGAAAGCTGCCCTGTGGCATTAACACTGGGGGGCGAGAGGGAGATGGTTCTCGGTTTATGTAGTCCACCCGGAAGGGGTGGGGAGTTGAAAGGGGGTACTCCGATTGAGGATGACCGGCCAGGAGGCAATCAGGTTGGGAGAAGTAAGGCACCAGAGCCGGCACGACCAACTGTCTTAGTGTTAAGGATGCCTTAGAGCAGAAGCCAAAACTCTCCCAGGGATCTAGTGGTCAGTCCCAGACCTGACTTAGATGCCGGTGAGCAGGACCAGACCTGGTGGCGCGGGAAATCGGACCCTACGGTTTTCTCCCCAGTTCCAGAGGACAGCACCCAAGGTTCATTGTCCAGTTTTTATTTGGGTACATTGGGCTTCCTGGGTAGTTTTTTTTTTTTTTTTTGATGAGGAAGAAAGGTGACCTGACAGAAGACTATGGAGAGATGAGGCTAAGGTTCTGAGGGCAAGGGCAAGTGCAGAATGAGAGCACAGTGAAGCCCACTGCCCCTCCAACAACCCATCTTACCCATTTTAGGTAGACAGCCCATGCTTTGCCAGTCACCGCTGACCCTGCCTGAGAGCCTACCCAACAGGGAAGAACTTGACACTCCTGGGACAGTCCATAAAGGCCCACAACTCCCTTCTCCCTGACTCTCCCAGTTCCAACAAAAGTGGAACTCTCCAGTAGGTCACTAAGGGCTTATTCTAACTGGCCTCAGAAGCCTCCTTCTTGAGCAGGCAATGCAATGCTGTGTGTCAGAGAGAGCTCCAGGATCCTGCCTTCAGTTTATCTAGGAGATGAAGAACCTAGTCCACCTTCCTGATGTATATAAACACAAATCAAACAAAGGCTCCAAAGGACAGATTTGCCAAAACTTTGTGTCTTAAACACACTTTGTCCTGTCCCTTGACATGAATGAGCCAAGAACCAAGGGCACAATTTTTTTTAAGAGCATGGGGTGGGAATGGGTCACTCACATAGCAGAACAATTGTCACTCAGTTGAACAGTGTCAATTAAACCATAGCAAAATGGTCAACTTCAGAGGGCTTAATAGTCCCTAAAATGTCTGTGGTGGTGCCTGCGCAGCCAACTAATGTTCTCTGCTGGCTTCTGGTCCTCTCCTCTCTCCCACTCCACTAGGCACTGGTGCCCCAATACAGCTTTGCTTCTCTGCCACCTTGGGGTCTTGGATCCCCAGCTGGCTCTAGTTGCGAGGGTATAAACAGCAGTGCTAGCGGGCATTTTCCGCAGCGGTGGCACTGGGCGCTGGGAATGAGAGACCCGGGAACCCTAAAGGCGCAGGGGGAAGTAGTAAAGCCCAGACCTGCAACAGTCCTCAAACACGCTAACTATGCAAGGCAACTTTAGCAGGATATAGAGAACTGGTTGTCTCCTGCACCACACCATCTTCCTCTGATGAACACTAATGCACTTTGTGGTTCGAAGCGCTCCCTGGGTGACTGAACCCGTGCATTTTAATTCCAAAGTCAAGTGGTTCAGCCATCTCAAACTTGGGCATGGGGGTGGGACAGGGGAGCACGGTGTCGACTGCTCGGGGCTGGCTTTATAGTTATTTTTGTAAGTTCTGCCGGTACCCATGGTATTGGCCTGAAAAGCAAAAGAGGCCGTTGCAATTTATTCCAATGGGCGGTTTTTAAGAAGCTGGCAATTTGAACCGGTTGGGTGTTATTTAGTGCAATATGAAATCAAATGATCCTATTTCTCAAATAACAGTGTCTGCGAGGAGAAGTGAATTCTCTGAAAGGGTAATTGTCTGCTGATGGTGTTTCCATTATACCCGATCTTGGCCTAAATGATGTTGGGCAGCAGGGCGGAGAGTGAGGGGTGAAATCAATGTTGAAACCAACTAGCGCTCCGGTGGAAGAAAAGATCCCTCTAGATCGCTTACCCGCAAGTCCTGCAGAACAATGCCGCCGGTTGCACCACCGATTTGGACGGCTGTTCTGCAGATCTCCGACATCATCAAACTGAAGTGATCTTGGGGGTAAGAGAGTAAAAACTAACTCTCCTTTAGAAACTTTAGGAATCCTTAGCATCTTGGTATCGTTGAGTCAGCAGATAACCTGGAAAATAAAACCCAGTATATAAAACCCATTATGACCATGTTTCCACCTTCCTATCCCGTTAGTACTGAAAACACAGAGTAGTTTTTTCCAAGGCACATTCTGTCTAGGGCTCTAGGCCTCTCCCTGTTGGGTCTTCCTGGAAAGGTCTTGCTTTTACCAGGCACTCGGTAGTTATGTAATAGTGTGCATTGTCTTGTAGATAGAGAACAGTTAGCATCGGACTTGAAAAAATGTTCTCTGTAGATCCAAGCCACTGTTTCCTGTAGAACCTGATACAGGGTTAGCTGAATAAAACACCTACTTGAAACAAAATGAAGGAAGGGGTTTAGAAACTGAAACAAAATTGACCGGCTGGAAACCACTTGTTGGCCTTAGGGCATGTCAGTACCCCAGAGTCAAACAAAGGCAATATTTGGGGCCTGCCTTTCTTGAAAATTCTGCCGTATCTACTTAGGCAACAGCTTTGACCGTAAACCCTTTTTAATTATTACGAATGCACCTTGAGGGGAGTGGCCTCTTTAGAGTCTGAGTCGGGGCAGAAGAAGGAGCGACCGTGGGAGGAGGATGCAGCCAGAGTTTAAGTCACTTAGGACCAAGGACCAAAGCAGCTTTCACCGCCCCACCCCCTTCAGAATTTGTTTCTTCCCTAAGGAAGAATATCTTGAAACTGTCAAATTCTACATCTGTTAACTTGGAGGCATTTCAGGTCAACTCTCTTAATACCTGTGTCTTGCTTCTGCTTTAGATGGGTATGTTTCTTTTCATTTTCTTTAAGTATATATAATGTCTCATAGAAACATTTGCATGCACAATAAGAGAGATACGTATGCATACATGCATATGCACATTTTTTCTATACTACGACTTCTATTTACAGGCCTGTTTAGTTATTAGTGATTTTTTCCCCTCCATGGTGCTATTTTCAAATGCTCAAAGAACTTAGGTGGGGTGGTGGTGTAATTTTTCCACATCCAAGGAGCTGCCCTAGGAAGCTTCCAATCTTTTCCCTGAAGGAGAGAGAGACACGACCACATTTGCAGTCGAAAGCACTGGACATCAAAGGGCTATTCCAGGTCTCTCACCCTTCTCCAGGGTGCGGTCGTCCCCCCCCCCCACTCCGTACCATTTCTGAAAATCCAGCCTAGCCGAGGGGACCCCTGTAGTTCTGGGATGGCCGTTTAATTTTCTTCCTTCTGCTTTGGTTCTTAACAAATCTCTGGGGTGCCGTTTCTTAGGGTCTGCTCCAGGAGGGCCTGCCCACTCCTCGCTAAACGGTAAAGCCTAAAATATGATCATGAAATAAGATGTGGCTCTCCCCGTGTCCCACCGCTGCCTCTCAGGACCCCTCTAAGGCTGCAGTCCCCAGCGCAGACACTCGGCTGGGCTGAACTGCAAAGGCCTTTAGCCACCTGCCTCACTGTGTAGCTGCCGCCTCGGCCAAGTGACAGCCCCAGTCCTTTTACTCAGCGCTGCGCTCACTTTTCTTGGGAGGTAAGTGGTACTCACACCCGAATCTCAGTTGAACCTCTCAGAAAAGATCAAAGCATCCCTCTCCTCCAGGATTTCGGATCGTTCCCCCTACAATTAGAAACTCCTAGTCACAGTTTTGTTGGCGCATCCCTGCACCTCTGCACGTTGCGGCGGGTTGAACATCAGACTAGGCTGGGGCAGGGTCTGCGGGCTCAAGAGAGTGGCTTCGGGTGCTTCTACCCGACCGTCACCAGGCCTGTACACAGGTAAAGTCACGCGAGGTCAAGGCCCCGTGTCCCTCCTTTTCAGGGACGTCGTAGCCCCAGAAACACCCTGGACTGCTGCAGAGAGGAGATTTAAGATCTGACAGTCCCCTGCCTGAGGCAGTTTTCCTGCAACCAGCTGCTTTGCCACGGGAAGAGTGGGCGTCTTTGACCTACATTGCAGTGTCCACACCTCCCCTCCCCATGGCAAGCGACCCCTTCCCCCACCTGAGTTCTTCCTCCCTCCCTTCCCCAGACCCACTGACCTTGAGAAGGCGCGGACCCACGGCGGCGAAGCCAAGCCAGGCAACATCCGAAGCAGGAGTGCGCGGCTCAAGCGCTGCCTGTACCCGCTGGCTGATCCGTGTCCTCCACCGCTGTCGGGAGAGTGCGTAGCTCCCCTCCCCCCACGCCTTATAATTTAATCACATGAGATATTAAATGATCAAGCCGTTCATTAATCATCACTCGAGTTATTGGGATTGAGCACGGCGCCTTGTGTTTTGACAATCCAGAATGGCTCACCCGGCTCCGGGTGCGTCTGTTGGGGGAAGGGTACTTTCTAGCCACTCTTAACAAACACAGGAGTCCCGCGCGGACTGTTGGAACCTCTAGCCGAGAAGAACATTTGGGAAGGCGCCATCCCAGCTTCAGAGTTCAGCTGAGAGTTTGTCTGAAGAGGCCCAATTTCTTGAAATTTAGATTTTAATCTGGGTGATTTACATAGACTGAGTCGACTTTAATCAATAGTATCCTCATTTGCAGTTTTCCTCAGGAGGGTGAATTTGACTGAATCCCAACCTCTTCTTTATTCACTGTGTGATGGTGTGAAGTTGAGGTGTCTGAAATACAGATGGAGACAGATCAATGAAGACATTTCCAAGGATGGCTTCCTTAACTCCAGTGCAATGAGACTGTCTTGTTTTTGTGCACAATACAAATGCAAATAAAGAAAAAAAATAAATGTTTTCAGTTAAATGCCTATTTGGAGGTTTCATTTTAAAAACATAAACTCATCTTATTTTCATGCTTCCCCCTTTCCTATTTTTACTAACTGGGTCTTTTAAAAATGAATAAACCAATCAGCATTATGTTATGATTTAATTTTGCACACAAGAACCAAGTGCCTACCTAACTAAAGTTGTTTTGGTGCAAAGAAGTATGGGCAGCCCTCAGCACTTAGGCTTACACACCCTCAGAAAGAATAATAAACAGAAAGGAAGTAATCCCCACCTTGGGAAGGGGTGAGAGGGATACCAATCTGTCAGCCAACATATACATTTTAAACTATCTATTCTGAAATCCATATTTAGAAGAGATCTAACTCTCATGTCCAGTCTCTTCCGATTAACCTAAGCTGAGCCTAGAGTGGGGGGGGGGAGGGACAGTCTTTCTAGAGAGAGGCTATAGTGAAGCTCGGTTATCAGTTAAAGTTTTCTGAGCAAGTCTTAGATCAAGCCAATTTATTTTCTCTTCAAAAATATAAAACAGGCCAGATGTTGTGGTGCTTGCCAGTAATCCAGGGAGGTAGAGACAAAAGAATCAGGAGTTCAAGGTCATTCTTAGTTGAAAAGCTAGTTTGAGGTCAGCATGACCTACAGAAGACTTTTTCTTAATCAAACAAAAAGCACCTAAAATAAACCAATAAATAAAAATATAAAATAAAGCAAATACCAAAAAAGGTATGCTCAAAATGCTTAGAAGCTAAATTACATTTGATTGTCCTACCAGAGTATGAGGCCAATTTAGTAAGCAAGTAAGTATATAAATTCTGGTCCTATGGTTCCATTTTATCACAGAATATCATCAACAATATTAGATGTGTCTAAGACTATTCATGAGATATTTTCTCTTCTGTTAGTCTGTTGTCTGCATTTTTCTACCCTGCTCACTAACACACAAAGAGATAGGTATCAAAACTCAACACACACATATGCACTGCTAGGTGAAATTCATAAATCCTACAGAAGCTAGTGCAGGGGAGAAAAAATACAATGTGGTATAATTTTTTTCATAAGCCAATGGAGAAAAAATATCTTGACTATCTTTATCCAGGCTGTGATGCCTGCATCTGTTCTGCAATGACAGGGACATGTGTTGTCAGGGACTGAGAGATCACTTTGTATCTTAGGAGTTAAAGTGGACAAATGCCTATATCTGAAGACTTTGTTCTAAGCCCAGAGACTTTGAACACAACCTGAATTAGTGAGTTTGATATTATCCTCTTCTGAAATGTGGATTGATGAATTACACTACATAAAAGGCTTTCAAAGCAATAAAAGCACAAAGTTTAGTCAAGTAAAAGCCTAAACTCAGGGGAAAAATAATTCCATTTATTTGTTTGTATTGCCATTTTGGTTTTTTTTTGTGGTTGTTGTTGGTGGTGTTTGTTTGTTTCATTTTTTACTTTTTGAGACAAAGCTGGCCTAGAATTAACAATCCTTCTGCCTCTCTAGTCCTGGAATTAAAAGTCAGTGCCACCAAGCCAGCTTATATTGCCACTTTTATACATATTACCAACTGTTCCTTGAATGCTAGAGGTGTGTGTGTATGGAATGTGAGCTTAACACAGAGACTTTGTGGTGTTAAAAACTCATAGCCAAAGCAGGAAGTCACATTTCTCACTTTCTAGTCCAGTGTTCCTGTTTAAGAAAGCTAGTTGTTGTAAATTTCAAATTAGTTCTGTTTTGTAAAACTTTCCATTACCTACTTTTGTTTTCTGAACCTCTTTCAGAACATAGCCTCACTAATATGGATGGCTTCAGCAAACCAGTTAAACACCCTGAAAACAAAAGCTGGTATCCTGGAACAGTTCTGCCCAGAACCACAGGATTCAGATTTGTCAAGTTTTGCAATCCATTTAAACATATATGTGCACTCACACATAATTATTTTTAATACCCATCAGAGAATTATTCTTAGACCATTCAAGGATCATAGATAAACAAATATCCATGGGTGTTCAAATCCCTGTAAAAAAGCATGTTTATATATAACTAGTGTACATCTTCCTTATATACTTTATTTATTTGTTTGTTTAAGAGAAAGGTTTTTAGTGTGTGATTCTAACTGGCCTGGAGCTCATTGTATAGTTCAGGCTGGCCTTGACCTCACAATGATTCTCCTGCCTAATTCCTGAGTGCTGGAATTGCAGAAGTGTAATGCCCAATACAACTTCTGGCCTGTATTTTAAACCACCCCTCACAACAATATTTAAGTAGTTGTTACATTGTACTGTTTAGGGATTGATGAAAAGAAAAAACCATTATACATGTTCAATATAAGGGCCATTTTTGTTGACCTGACTAAACCTAATGTCAAGGGTGTAACTTTTCTTATAAAAATGCTCTGGAGGGCCGGACGTTGGTGGCGCACATCTTTAATCCCAGCACTCGGGAGGCAGAGGCAGAAGGATCTCTGTGAGTTCGAGGCCAGCCTGGTCTACAAAGTGAGTTCCAGGATAGCCTCCAAAGCCACAGAGAAACCCTGTCTCGAAAAACCAAAAAAAAAAAAAAAAATGCTCTGGAGGCCAGCAAGATTGTTCAGGGACACAAACACTTGCTTCCCAAGCCTGGAAACCTGAGCTCCATCCCCTGAACCCAGGTAAAGGTGGAAAAGAACTCACTCAGCAACATATGTCCTCTGATCTCCATTCACATGGGCACTATGGTATGTACACCCTGTCCCCAACATGTACGAATAACAATAATGAAGGTTAAAGTGTTTTCTATTCTCAATCGGCTAAATCAAAGGATGTGATGTAAAACCTAGAGATTAGAGGAATAATGAATGACTGTGGGGAAGGGGCAGGGGTTTAGAGAACAGTTTGCTGGGGTTGAGTTTCTCCTTCCAGCATTTAGGCCCAAGGTCAAACTCAGGTCATCATTTGGCAGAAAGCATTTTTACCTGCTGAGCAATCTCAGTAGCCCAACATCTTCTTGTCCTTTTATTGCCCAGAGATGATGATGTCAAAATTTCTAACATGTACATTAGAAGTTTATTCTTACAGAGAAATTCATAGCAGAAACAGAAAACAAACTTAAGGAAAAAAGAAATTAGCCAGGTCTAGTGGCACAGGGCTATAATACAACTTACTCAGGAGGCCTTGTCAGTAGAATTACAAGTTCAAGGCCCACCTAGACAACTTGGCAATAACCTGTCTCAAAATAAAAAAGGCTAGGGTAGTAGCTTTTAAAAGGCTAGAGTGGTAGCTCAGTAATCTTGACTGGGATGTTAGAGGCCCCAAGTTCAGGCCTCAGTATTAAAGAAGGAAGGAAGGAAAGAAGGGAGGGATAGAAGAGGAAAGGAGGGTAGAAGGAAGGGGGAGGAGGAAGAGTGGGTCTTGGAGAAGGAATTGGATTATTGAGAAGGCTGACTTACTGTTCTAGCATTTCCTAGAGATTGAACGTGCTCCGCATGCTTTTCAGTAACTAGTTGGCCTGATGTGGTCGTGATGTGATCGTTTGAAAGCAAATGGTCCCCAAATGGAGTGGCACTATTAGGAGGTATGTCCTTGTTGGAGGAAGTGTGTCATTGTGGGGGTGGGCTTTGAGGCCCTTTTTCTCAAGCTTCCCTCAGTGTGACAGTCAGTCAACTTCCTGTTGCCTGCAAGATGTAACACTCTCAACTCCAGCACTATGTCTTAGTCCCTAGATATCTTTTTTAAAAGTTTGTTTTCTGAGTTTGGATTGTCTCTTTTCTAGGGCTCTGCATTTCATATGAGTTTTATAATCATTTTGTCAGTATTCCCTCCCAAACCTGCTGGGAATTTTATTGGGATTTCATTGAGTATATAGTTTAATCTGAGAACACCTGCTCCCTCAGCCATGTTGCATGACCTGATCAGTATTTTTCTCAATTTGCTTACAAATTTTTTAACTTCTCTTAGCAATACCCACAGTTTTTAGAATAGAGAATTTTTACATTTTACATGAGATTTATACTGAGCTAGTTCATAGTTTTAAATCCTATCATATCTACACAATCTAGTGTTGTTGTAACAGACTATCAGAGACTGAGTCGTTTATAAACACAATAATTTTATTTGACTCATTAATTCTGGAGACTGGAAATCCAAGAATAAATGGCGGTGTCTGATGAGAGCCTCGTGCTCGTGGTGACAAAAGAGAGGACAAGCAGGTGTGTTAAAAGGGGACAACACAGGGGCTGGAGAGGTGGTTCAGAGGTTAAGAGCACTGACTGCTCTTCCAGAGGTCTTGAGTTCAATCCCAGCAACCACATGGTGGCTGACAACCATCTACAATTCAATCTGGTGTATATGTAATAAATAAATAAAATCTTTAAAAAAAAGGGGGACAACACAGAGTGGTCTCATTTTATGACAAACCACTGTCAAGGTAGTCTACTAAGGTCAGTCATTTCCTAAAGGTCATACAGTCTCTCAGCACTGTTACACTAGGAAGCTAAATAACAATGTGTGTTTGGGAGATTTTCAAACCAGAGCATATTGTAAGTGGAATTATGGCCGGTTTTGACTATCAAGGTCATTAAATTAAGAAGCATCGGAGAGGTTAGTAAACCTTACTCCTGGGCTTAGCTGTGAGAGCAGTTCCAGAGAGGAATGACAAAGGGAGAAAGACACACCTTGAATATGGGCAGTACTACCCAATAGGCTGTGTGCCAAGATGGAATAAAAGGCAAAGGAAGCATACTACTAACATAGTTTCAGGACAGCCTCCAAAGCTGCCAACAAACCCTGTCTCGAACCTTCCCCCAAATGGTATAGGGTGTTAAAAGCAGTCCCATGGAAACAGAGGAGGAGTTTTCGGCAGTGGAGCACACCTGTAAGCATGATGTAATGCTACAGGTTTCAGAAACCCGAGAGGTGTTGGTCAGTAGCATTTACTGGAATACATGCTTCTGCTACTGGAGTTTTTAGGGCCAGATTCTGGGACCTGGCAACCCTAACAAACTAGATTTGGCAACCTGTCCTCAATATGCCAGTGAAAGAGACAAGTAGTT